CACAAAAACAATGAGGTAGTCAGATGATCACAGCCATACATTTTCAGGTTTTTAAACTAAGGCTGAAAGACATTCAGAAACTTGCTCAACTAGGCGCTATTCTTAACACATGACTAAGCCTTCGCTTTTGTCCTCTGGAAAAAAAAAGACAATATTATTTCAAACATTCTCTTCTTAGCCATGTGCGGTGGGTCATGCAAGTAATCCCTGCACTTTGGGAGGCCGAGGTGAGAGGACTGCCTAAGTCCAAGGGGTCGAGACCAGCCTGGGCAACTTGACAAGCCCTCATCTCTACGATAAATCCAAAAAATTAGCTGGGTGTGGTGGCATGCGCACATAGTTCCAACTACTTGGAAGGCTAAGGTGGAATGATTGCCTGAACCCAGTAGGTAGAGACTGAGACTGTGAGTGTGCCACTGCACTCCAGCCTAGGCAACAGAGTGAGACTCCAACTTAAAAAAAAAAAAAAAAAGAACAACTAAATTAAGGACTTTGCAGCAACTTGGATGGATTTAGAGTGTATCATACTCAGTGATCTATCACAGAAACAAAGAATTGAGGACCACATGTTCTCACTCATAAGCAGATCCTGAACATTTACCATAATACAATAAGGAAAGGGATTGGCAGTAGCGGGACGCTGCCGAGATGGGGAGCAGGAGGGAGGGAAGATATAACATCAATAAGAGTAATAAGAGTACCTGATCTCAAACCAGGTGAAGTGGGGACCAGAGGGAGGCCCAAACTTTACCTGTACAAAGACCACTTGTATATCTAAATCTGAATTGTACACCATATCTTTAAAATTTTTTTAAAAAAAGAAGAATGTTGCTTTGAACATTCACATACATGTCTTTGTGTGGACATACATTTTCACTTTTTCTCTCTCAAAGATTCCTAGGAGAACGTCATCACATAGTAGGTATATGTTTAACTTTTTAAGAAACTGCCAAACTGTTTTCCAAAGTAGCTATACCATTTTACATTTTAAACAGCAGTGTATGGCACACTTTAAAGTGCCACCATCACACGAGATATAACAACTGGGAAGGGGCCGTAGGCCCCAAAGAAGATACATGTTCCAAAGTGAAGTGACAGGTAGAAAGTATTTCATCTAGAGAAAAAGATTCACACGAAAACAGATGGGACGATATGCTAACACTGCTAATCTAGCCTACAAGATGATTTATAGTTGTGCTGCCTTAAATTCCATCAGGAAAGCATCTACCCAAATATAACCAATGTTAGATAAACTCAGGCTGGGTGTGGTGGCTCAAGTCGGTAATCCCAGCACTTTGCAAAGCTGAGGTGAGAGGATTACCTGAGCTCAGGGGTTCGAGACCAGCCTGGGCAACTTGGCAAGACCTCATCTCTATAATAAATCAAAAAATAAGCATGCACCTGTAGTTCCAGCTACTTGGAAGGTTGAGGCAACAGAGTGAGACTCCGACTCAAAAAAAAGATAAACTTACATGTTTTTGAAACATGCAAAGAAGGGAAAATTTTTAAAAGGCAGCAATAAAGCTGATGCAAGCAATCACAAGAGCAGCTCACATGAGCATTATCCACAAGTCAGGCACGATATTAAGTTTTAGAAAATAGCCACTTTAGTGATCATTATCTCCATTTTCAGGTGAAGAAATCAGAGGCAAAGAGAAGTTGAGAATGTGGCCCCAAGGTCACAGAGACTGCAAAGGGTGCAATCAGATCTGCCTGACTCCAGACCATGCTTTCCACAGCTATACTAATTTACTGTTGCATCTGCAGGCTTCACGTGCCTTCCAGTCTGCTTGGAAGCTATTTCCATGGAGCTGAATGATACTATCCTGCAAAGCCACACTACTCCCTCTGTTTCTAATTTGGTACTCATCAAGAACCTTCTGATATTTATCTGTTTTCCTGAGCCCATTTTCTACTTGAAAAAAGAGGAGCTGACCTGCCAAAGGGAATAAAGTATATACACTTGGCAGTGATAGCTCTTAGAGTAAATGAAGACCAGGCATTCTGGTTTTGAACATTAATTTGACCATAAATTTTGTTCACATGACCAATCACAGAGGCAGCAATATTCTTTTCTAAGGATCAATATAACAGAGAAAAAATTATCAAGTCAGAGATCCATCCTGCTCAAGTTCACAACTGCTAAGCCAACTCTATACCTAGACTATTAAAAACAAAAACAGCCGGGGCTGGGTGGCTCAGCCTGTAATCCCGCGCCCTTGGGAGGCTGAGGTGAGTGAATTGCCTGAGCCCACAGGTTCGAGACCCACCTGGGCAACTTGGCGAGACCTCATCTCTACAATAAATCAAAAATTAGCTGGGCATGGTAGTGCCCGCCTGTAGTTCCAGCTACTTGGAAGGCTGAGACGGTAGGATCACCGGAGCCCAGCAGGTCGAGGCTGCGGTGGCCGTGAGCGGCCACTGCACTCCAGTCTGGGCGACAGAGTGAGACTCCAACTCAAAAACAAAACAAAAAACAAAAACAAAAACATGGGCCAGGTACGGTGGCTCAAGTCTGCAATCCCAGCACTTTGGGAGGCCGGGGTGAGAAAATTGCCTGAGTCCATGGGTTTGAGACCAGCCTGGGAAACTTGGCAAGACCTCATCTCTACAATAAATCAAGAAAAATTAGCTGGGCGTGTTGGCGCATGCCTGTGATTCCAGCTATTTGGAAAGCTGAGGCAGAAGGATCACCTGAGCCCAGTGGATCCAGGCTGCAGTGACCATGAGCGTGCTATTGCCCTCCAGCCTGGGCGACAGAGTGAGATTCCAACTCAAAACAAAAAACAAAAGACACATAGGTGTGTTTGTGCTACATATGTAAGCACAAGATGGGTTGGGCTCAACTGTACAAAAATGGAAAGAAAGGTTTATCTCAGTAATTTGTCAAAGGCTGCAGGTTTCACAAGAACTTATGGCCAAGGAGGATATATTTCTTCTGATCATCTCAAGTTGGAGTCAACTTTGAAAGAAAACTGATGGTAAGTAATGCAAATGTTAAACTCTGGTTGTTTTATGGTTTATTTAAGGAGCCAATAGAGTTCTTTGACCTCGGGCAGCACCCACAGAGCCTTCCGAAGCTTTCTGGTACTCTTATATCAGCCATCATGTTGCAACTGTGTAACTCATCAACATTTGATACACATACAGCAAAATTACCTTTTTGGTCCTTTAAAAAATGTTACAGAATAACAGAAACTTCATGCTGAAAGCAGTCATTTAGGTTAATCAATCAGTTCCCTTGTCTCACAGATAAAGAAATTGAGGCTAAAAGGGGGATTTCGGCAATATGCATGACATGGAAAGAACATAAATGAAATCTGATTTAAAAGCAGAGAGTTAGAGAAAATCAAATCAAAGAGAGTCAAAACTTTTTAAAAAGAAAAATGTCTTTTAATTTATTTTTTAAAAATAAAATCACAAATTATATCCTCTCCCTCTTGCAAAAGAGAACTCACATCATGTCAAATTAAGTCTTTTCTCAGATACACATTCATTCCTTCAGGCAGACACACGACCATACTGTTCTTTTCTTTTACATTCAACTTGAAATTCCATCATCTAACTGAAGTCTTTTCACAATTAATTACTGCGGAGGCACAGCAAGTTAAACATGTTTATTAATTCTCATTCTACTAGCAAAAAATCAGAGCTGGCATAATCTAAGATCTTTCTTTTAGAAATAAGAAAATTAGCAGATACTTCAGAATTTTCATTGGCTCTGAGACTCCCCAAATGAGGGGATATGAGCTTTGGGAAAAAAACATGCATGGAGTGGCTTAGGAGGTGAATCCTTAGGCACTGTCAGCGGTTGTTAGTAGTGCTCTCTGGTAGGTAGGCTGCACGTCAGGACCAAGGAAATGTGAACTATATATTTTAGAGGTAATCTCAACTTTGTCCCTAAGGAACTCCAATGGCATTTTAACATACTTAAGAGGGAAAGAAATCTTATTTTACACAACCCTAGATCTATCCAGCATATCTCCCATGTATATCAAGCAAGAGTCAGCATGTATATCTGGGAGATGAGAGGGAGCAATCTGATATCATGTATTTACTAGAGGAGAAAACTTAAATCCTGAGAGACTCATTGGCTTGTTTAGGTTCCCTGACAATGTACGATTTCCATTTAGAGACTGTTCTCCTGCAAAGATACTTGAACCGTAGACACCAGAAAGAAGAGCTGATGTCAGCCAGACATTTCCTCCAGTGTTAATTAATACCAATGACTTTCTGGTTAATACGTTTTTAATGCTTTAGAACTTCATCTAACAATTTCTGTTTCTAACCTGCAAAGCTACTGACACCTATTCCAAGCAAATTTCACTAATGGGAAACCCCTGGATGTCTAGCTTGAAACACTTTTTGGCTGACTACCATCAGGAGAAAATTCTGGGATAAGTATGAAGTAAGTTGATTTATTCACTCACATTACATTCTCTGCCCTCTTCCCTCTCTCCCTTCACTCCGCCTCCCACTTTGTTCCCTCACCCCAGTGGTAATGGAGCAGGGATTGGCAAACATTTTCTGTAAAGGGCCAGACAGTAAATAGTTTAAGCTTCTGGGCTCTGCCTTCATAGCGCAAAAGTAGCCATAGTCAATCCTTAAATGAATGGGTGTGTCTATGTTCCAATAAAACTGTGTTTACAAACACAGGCAGCAGGCCAGATTTAGCTTCAGAACTGTAGTCTGCCAACCCTGGTAGAGAGCTTCAATTCTCAAACTGCATCAGAATCACATATAAGACTAATGAATACACAGAATTCTGGGCCCCAAATTAAAGTTCCAAATTCAATAGGCCTGTAGTGGGCCCTGAGATTTTAATAAGCTTCCAAATGATGCTGATGCTGCTGGTCCAGGGACCACACTTTGAGAATCAATGGTTTAGAATAATGGTCTATAGTGCATTCAGTGGAAGGCTGAAATGTAGTGAACAATACAGAAGCCACATGCTGCAAATTGACTGCTAATTTTATAGAATATTTCATATGAAGACTTACTGTTAAGTGCCATAATATTATCTGTTCCTGGATGATGGAAATTTATTCCCATGCGTCCTAAAAAAATAAAATTATTTTGTTTTAAGCACAAAGAAAAGAATGCTTAATGTAATCATTTAAAATACATCTTAAAATAAGAACATTACAAAAAATTTGAACAGATTAATCTATAACAATGTTATCAAAGGCCAAAGCAGTTACAACAGTTTTTAAGTCAAGTCATAAAACATACACATGAAAAATCTTAAAACAAAGCCAAAATTTCAACAGCAAATAAATAAAACATAACACAAAAGAAGCCTCCATCATAAAAGACCGAAATTTAACACAGCTCCCACATTCCAATTTAAACATGCCAATTCCTTAGATTAAGCATTTATTTAAACAACCATTCATACTGCCCTTCAAATTCAAGCAGCAAAAAAAGAAAAAATAAATTCAAGGAAGTATATAAACTTGAGATTCAGAGAAAATAAAAAGAGAGGTTTCACAAGGGCTCAAAAATGCAACATAATTATCAGAATGGCAGCCAGAAAAAAACATGGTAAAAAATTATAAAACAGAAACAGTGGCGGGGGGAATGACTGGCCCCAAACTTAAGGCTTCTTGTGCCTGTCCCTACTACTAACAGGTTATATGACCTTGGGTATAATGCTAACCTCCTGACTTTGATCCTCACATCTAGAACATGATTTGCAAACTTCTGCCCACACTAGCTGGCATGCTGTTTTTTATGCCTCTAAGGTAAGAATCATTTTTACAGTTGTAAAGGTTGTAAACAAAACAAAGTCAGAAGTAAAACAAAGAATAATGTGTGAAAGAGACATACGGTTGGTAAAGTCTAAAATATTTACTCTCCAGCCCTTCACAAACTTTGTCAACCCCTGGTCTATAAGTTGACAAGAATCAGATGCTTCAAACTAATGGCTAGGGTGTGAGTGGAAGATGCAGACATTTGGTATGTTTTTTCATAAATTATTTGGGAGAAGGAAGTGGATATATCAAAATAAAAATTAAATAGGAAAAGTCTTACATAGGAAAAAATGTACTTAGTAAGGTTATTGAAACAATACTTTTGTGTAAAACTATTATTGGTGAACTTGGCCCTGCAAGGTTTTCATGTCCAATGATGTCAAGGGTTATTAGGAAATTCTCAGAAAAATGTTCATTTCATTTCATTTTATCATTGTTTAAATAAATAAATGTCAAGAGTATTTTAGGGGAAAAATAGTACAGGGAAAGTTAGAGATAAGGTTACAGTGATTGACTTTTACACAAAACATGGTTTTCTTTTGTTCTGTTTTTGAGACAGAGTCTCAATCTGTTGTCCAAGCTTGAGTGCAGTGGCACACTCACAGCCACCGCAGCCTCGACCTGCTGGGCTCATGTGATCCTTTCACCTTAGTCTTCCAAGTAGCTGGGACCACAGGCGAGTGCCACCACACCCAGCTAATTTTTTGATTTATTGTAGAGACGAGGTCTCACCATGTTGCCCAGGCTTGGCCTACATGAAACACAGTTTGATATTATATAATTGCAAAAGAGTCAGTCAATATGTGATGCTAAACTCTGTTATGGGAGATTGAAGGCAAACAGCATCATCAACCTTCTCAGACCCAAAAGAAAAGCATCAAAGTGGACAAAACAGAGCATTTGCCTCACATAAGAAGGGGAATTATGAATTCCTAGATAAATGAAGTTTTGCTTAGACAAGGCCATCCTGATTTCTTAAAAAGCCTCAAGTCACGGTGATTCATGAAAGGTCATTTTATATTAAGAAGTAGAGAGAAAGAAAACAAAATGATCAAAAGTGTAATGTCATTTGTATCTGTGTGTATATTTAAGAATGGGAAAATCAGCCGGGCTCGGTGGCTCAGCCTGTAATCCCATGCCTTTGGGAGGCTGAGGTGAGTGGATTGCCTGAGCCCACG